AAAATGGGTGTCAAATAGGGGCTTAATTAACAATTCACTGCAAAACATTTTTTAGACAATTATTTTCCCTGTAATTCATTTTCTTTCCACCCATTTTCCACTATTGCAATCAAACGCACCCTTATTCTTTTGATTAATTTTTAAAAAGGTAAGACAGTAATTTTGCATTATATATTAAAATAAATTATAAAATAAAACTGACAAGAACTTGACAGAGACTAAGAAGGCAACAATTTGAGTATTCATTCTCTCCGCTTCAAACTGCATTAACAATACATAAAATTGGTATTAAAAACTAATAAATAATTCTCCTTAGATTAAAAACGTTAAAATTAAAAATTAAAGAACTAACTTGGTAGAGACGAAAAAGACAAAGATTTGCACTCAAGCTGTATGTTTGTGAAGAAAACTAATCTTTCCAGTTCACAATTCAAAACAAAATTCATATGTTTAGTGAATTAAAATCCCAATAATACAAATGAATATAGACAGACAAAGAGACACAAGCACATAAAAGTACATGTTCATTCACGTAGTTTTTGAAATCCGGAAGGATGTTCGGGTTGTAAGGATTGACAGCGATGAATTGCTTCGCCGTTTATGACATTGTCGTCGGTAGCTAAATCCGGAAGGATGTTCAAGTTGTAAGGATTGACAGCGATGAGTTGCTCCACCGATTATGACATTGCCGACGGCAGCTGCTTTTGATTTGGTGCTGAACTAGTCATCTTTCTCCCTCTTCTCTCTATATATAGATATGATTTTGTAAATTCAAAATTGTAAGCCAATATTACTATGTGGTTGTTATCGGTTTTATTTTATTTTTTAAATTTATTTTTTATATATAATGCAAAGTAACTCTTTTACCCCTTTAAAATTAGTCAAAATGGTTATATAGAGTTTGGGTAGTCATTGTGAAACATTATATGGAGTTGGGTGTAAGGGTGGTAAACGGATCGAGCAGCTCGTCAGCTGAGCTCGTAGCCTACTCGAGCTCGTCCTTGGACGAGTTCGAGCAAAAGTCGAGCTAACCGACTCCCCAAGTAAGCAAAATCCGCTCGGCTTGCCTCGTGGGTGAGCCCACGAACTCGTGCCCACAAGCATAGATGACAACCCAAGTTCATGGCTCTGGGTCGCGACTCACCATCTAGCGTGATCAAAACTGTCACTTTTTTAAAATGAAGTGACCGTTTTGGTCATTGTAGATAGTTCAAGGACCGTTATGGTTATTGAACTATTAAAAGTAGTCATCTGGCCCTTTAATTTTTTTTCCTCTATAACTATCATACCCATTTCACACACCAACAACAATTCTTACTCTCTCACATTTTACAATCTACATTATACCTTCGATTTCAAAATTTTCAATATCCTTATGTCTTACTCTCTTCACATACTCTTATTTACAGTATACATACTATACACATTACACAATACATATTCTCTACGTGATATTTTATACATATTGTCATTACAATTTACTTTCCTACAATTATCCAATTTCTACATATTCATTCATCATTTCATCTTCATTCGAGTTCATATATTATCAATTCATCACAAATGGATCCACAAGCATTTGTTGAGAGCTTATTCGATATCGGTGGCGAATCACCTCTAATGCTACAAAGTCAATTTCACAATGAGTTTGTCAGTTTCAACGATGTACCCATTCCCGAATATATTCCAGATTTGGATGCTCACACAAATAGTAATCCAATTGATTTAAATTATGTTAATGTTCCCGAAACGAAACAGGAGGAATTATATATTCCCGATACAAGAAGGAAACGAAAGAAAAAAATCGACAAAATGTTGGGATCACTTTAAATTGATTTCAACAGGTTATACGGTCGACGAAGTTGTAGAGTCTAATGCAGTATGTAAATACTATCAAACACGATTATCATGATAAGAAGTCATTGGTACTACCCAGCTCAACCGTCAGTACAAAGCATGTGCGGCAAAACATGGGCTTGTTGGTGGCAATCAAACGCAACTACAATTTTGTAATCCAACCGTCGGTTCTACTTCTCCGACACATAGCACGTGGATGTATTCAGAGGAGAAAGGTCGAACGAGAATGGTGAAATTCGTTGTCAGTGCTGAGTTGCCTCTAGCAATAGCGGACAACCAACATTTCGTCTCCTACGTAAAAGAATATCTTCAACCGAGGTAATTATGGTAAGTAGAAACACTCTTCTTTCCGATACAATTGAGTATTACCTTAATAAAAAGAAATTATTGATTATTGATTTTCAAAAATATGGTGTTATTATATTTTTTATTTCGGATTTATAGGAAGTGATTAATAAAAGAGGAGGTTATATATCTGTAATTGCACGCTACATAGAAACGCTTTGATGTATGCATAAAAAAATATTTCTTTTAAAATAGTTGAGTTCTCTCACAATGCTGACAATATATTTAACAATATTATGAGCATTATTAGAGAATATCATTATGAGAGTAAAATTCGTTCTTTTATATTTGACAATACTAGTGTTAATAAGCCAATTATTAATAAAATGAGTAGGTTACTGTAGCCTGATTTTGNGTTATTGAACTATTAAAAGTAGTCATCTGGCCCTTTAATTTTTTTTCCTCTATAACTATCATACCCATTTCACACACCAACAACAATTCTTACTCTCTCACATTTTACAATCTACATTATACCTTCGATTTCAAAATTTTCAATATCCTTATGTCTTACTCTCTTCACATACTCTTATTTACAGTATACATACTATACACATTACACAATACATATTCTCTACGTGATATTTTATACATATTGTCATTACAATTTACTTTCCTACAATTATCCAATTTCTACATATTCATTCATCATTTCATCTTCATTCGAGTTCATATATTATCAATTCATCACAAATGGATCCACAAGCATTTGTTGAGAGCTTATTCGATATCGGTGGCGAATCACCTCTAATGCTACAAAGTCAATTTCACAATGAGTTTGTCAGTTTCAACGATGTACCCATTCCCGAATATATTCCAGATTTGGATGCTCACACAAATAGTAATCCAATTGATTTAAATTATGTTAATGTTCCCGAAACGAAACAGGAGGAATTATATATTCCCGATACAAGAAGGAAACGAAAGAAAAAAATCGACAAAATGTTGGGATCACTTTAAATTGATTTCAACAGGTTATACGGTCGACGAAGTTGTAGAGTCTAATGCAGTATGTAAATACTATCAAACACGATTATCATGATAAGAAGTCATTGGTACTACCCAGCTCAACCGTCAGTACAAAGCATGTGCGGCAAAACATGGGCTTGTTGGTGGCAATCAAACGCAACTACAATTTTGTAATCCAACCGTCGGTTCTACTTCTCCGACACATAGCACGTGGATGTATTCAGAGGAGAAAGGTCGAACGAGAATGGTGAAATTCGTTGTCAGTGCTGAGTTGCCTCTAGCAATAGCGGATACCCAACATTTCATCTCCTACGTGAAAAAATATTTTCAACCGAGGTACAATGGGATAAGTCAAAATACTCGTCGTTCAAGCGGACAACCAACATTTCGTCTCCTACGTAAAAGAATATCTTCAACCGAGGTAATTATGGTAAGTAGAAACACTCTTCTTTCCGATACAATTGAGTATTACCTTAATAAAAAGAAATTATTGATTATTGATTTTCAAAAATATGGTGTTATTATATTTTTTATTTCGGATTTATAGGAAGTGATTAATAAAAGAGGAGGTTATATATCTGTAATTGCACGCTACATAGAAACGCTTTGATGTATGCATAAAAAAATATTTCTTTTAAAATAGTTGAGTTCTCTCACAATGCTGACAATATATTTAACAATATTATGAGCATTATTAGAGAATATCATTATGAGAGTAAAATTCGTTCTTTTATATTTGACAATACTAGTGTTAATAAGCCAATTATTAATAAAATGAGTAGGTTACTGTAGCCTGATTTTGGTGATTATTTATTTCATGTTCGTTGTCTGTGTCATATCTTTCTATATATAAAAAATGCCTATTTAACGGAATTTGTTGGTTTAACAGAAAAACTAACAGAATTTGTTGTTTTAACGGATTATGTAACGGAATTTCTTGTTTTAAATAGGCAGCTGCACCTTCCTTCAATATTTTTATCATAACTTTGTATTTTGCTATTCGATTGAGGCGATTCAAAATGCGTTGGAAAGCTAACACATCTAACTACAACTTTGATTCAGATATCATTCTCCAATTCGATCACTTTCTATGTCAAAAATATGTCTCAATATAACAGACTA